GTCAGGATTCACAGGCTACCTGACCATCCCCTTTTCCGCCACCAAAACCTGACGTCAGGTGTGAGAACCCAGGAGTCTGAGGAAGGACACGAATACTCCTCTGAAAAATCTGGAAGATGGAAGAGACAAGCGGGGTTCCCAAATCCTCATTTGACATGTGTGTTGTGCTCATTGAGTGAAGTAAGGCATGGTCATGACACAACTTGAACTTTGGGGACAGTGGGAAGAACGATCAGACTCCTGCCTGAATGGAGGTGGGATGAGCGGTCCACTGAGGCAATAGCTCTCAGCTCACTAGGTTGGCAGCCAGGAAAGAGAATGAGAAGGCTTCCAGCAAGGCTTCCATGCCCAGGCAGCCCGGGCTGTCTGTCTCAGTGCTGGAGAGTGGCAGAAGTAAGTGGACACAGGGGCCCACACCTCGGTTTGCCCCAGCTCCAGGAGGTGAGACATGCGACAGCAAATTCTACCCACTGGGCCTTGGCAGCTGGTTCAGATGTGAGCATGGGACCTAAGTTGGTCCCATCAGACTGAATCTCAGGACACTCTGCCAGGAACTCTAAGACACAGGTGCTTCCTCTAGCTCTAGATCGTGTCACCGTGCAGGCGTGAGGCCTGGAACAGTGGTAGCTGTGCTGCTGCCATGACGGAAGTTGGCCTGTGATGAGACTGGCTGTAGAGCCAAGCACAGGCAGAATCATGGAGCAATGAAGCCAGGGATCTTGAATTTCATTTACAGCAAACAACGTGGTCGGAACTGCTGGTTGCCCAGAAAAATGTTCAAGCTTTCCTCTATCGTCCTTAGCAACAGAAATTTGATTTTGCACAGCAATATGAATGTAGCAATGTGCCCATAAGAAAAACTACAACAGCAAAATGCTTTAAAATATATATATATAACATCTATATAATAAATATAAGTTTAACAAAAGTGTAAAACTTGTACACTAAAAACTACAAAACGTTATTGAAAAAGAATAAAGAAGGCCAAAGTAAATGAAAAGACATCGGGTGTTCATGGATCGGAAGACTTGCTGTTGCTAAAATGTCAACACTTCCCAAATTGATCAACAGACTCAATGCAATTCCTATCAAAATTCCAAAGGTCTTTTTCACAGAAATGGGCAAGCTGGTTCTAAAATTCATATGAGAATCCAAGGAACTCAGAGTAGCCAAAACAATCTTGAAAAGGAAGGAAATATTTGGAGGATTCACATTTCCCAATCTCAAAACTTACTACAAAGCTACAATAATCAAGACTGCAAGACTGTGTTGTACAGGCACAGGACAGACAAATAGATCAATGGAATAGAACTGACAATCAGAAATAAACTCATACATTTGTGGTCATCTGAGTTTCAACCAGGTGCCAAGACACTTAAACAAAGGCAGTAGGACAACAAGATAGTGACATGCAAAAGAATTGATTTGAACCCCTTCCTTGCGCCACATACAAAAATTAATTCAAAATGAATCAAGGTATAAAAGTAAGAGCTAAAACTATAAAACTCTTAGAAGAAAGCACGGGTGAAAATCTTCATGACCTTGAGTTTGGCCATGGTTTCTTAGATATGATATCTAAAATACAAGTAACCAAAGAAAAAAATAGATAAATTGGACTTCGTTAAAATTTAAAACTTCATTCATCAAGGGACACTATCAAGAAAGTGAAAAAACCCACGGAATGGGAAAAAAATGTTTTTAACTCATGTAACTTATAAGGGCCTATAACCAGAATATAAAAAGACAAGTAATCTAATTTTAAAACAGGCAAAGTATTTGAATAAACATTTCTCCAAAGAAGATATGCAAATGACCTGTGAACACACTGGATGATACTCAATGTCACCAGTTATTAAGAGAGTGAAAATCAACACCCCAGTGAAACTTCACTTCACACACACTAAGATGGCTCTAATCAAACAGATAAAAATTCACAAGTGTTGGTGAAAATGTAGAGAAACTGGAACCTTCATGCACTGCTGGCAGGAATGTAAAATGATGCAGCCACTTTGGAAAACAGTCTAGCAGTTTCTCAAAAAAATAACCATAGAGTTACAATTTAGCCAAGCAATTCCATTCTGTGGTATATACCCAAGAACAATGAAAGCTTGTCTGCACAATAGCAGCATTATTCATAATAGCCAAGAAGTGGAAACAACCCAAATGGTCATCAGCTGATGAATGGATAAAGAAAATGAGGTATATTTATGCAATAGAATCCTATTCAGCAATATAAAGTAATGAAATACTGATACATGTGATAATACAGATGAATCTTGAGACCCTATAATGCTAACTGAAAGAAGTCAGGCACAGAGTTGTCAATTTTACATAAAGCATGCAGTATAGGCGCATGAAAAGAAACAGCAAGTACATTGTGTTAGACCATTCTTGCATAGCTATAAAGAAATATCTGAGGCTAGACTGGGCACGTTGGCTCAGGTCTGTAATCCCAACACTTTGGGATGTCAAGGTGGGTGGATCACTTGAGGTCAGGAGTTCGAGACCATCCTGGCCAACCTGGTGAGCTCCCATCTCTACCCAAAATACAAAAATTAGCCAGGCATGGTGGCACGCACCTGTAATCCCAGCTACTCAGGAGGCTGAGGCAGAAGAATTGCTTGAACCTGGGAGGCGGAGGTTGCAGTGAGCCGAGATCACACCACTGCACTCCAGCCTGGGCAAGAGAGTGAGACTCGATCTCAAAAAAAAAAAAAAAATCAAGAAATACCTGAGGCTGGATAATTTATAAAGAAAAGAGGTTTATTTGACTCATGGTTCTGCAGGCTGTACCAGCATAGCTCCAGCATATGCTTCTAGTGAGGGCCTCAGGAAGCTTACAATTATGGTGGAAGGTGAAGGGGGAGTAGGTGCATCACTTGGTGATAACAGGAGGAAGACAGAGGGTGGGTGCCACACAAGTTTAAACAGCCAGATCTCACCAACTCGCTCATCACCATGGGGATGGCACTAAGCCATTCATGAGGGATCCACCCCCATGAGCCACACACCTCCCACCAGGCCTCCCCTCCAATACTGGGGATTACATTTCAACATGAGATTTGGAGGGGACAAACATCCAAACCATATCATAGGTTCACGGTTGCCAGAAGCTGGGGGCAGAAAGGAATGGGAGTAGGGTTCCTATTTGGGGGGGATGAAATATTCTAGAATTAGTGATGATTGTTGTACAACTCTATGAATAAGCTAAAAAAAAAAACCCAGGGAATTCTACACTTTTAAGTGGTGATTTTTATGGTATGTGAATATCTCAACTTATAAAAATGATCCTTATTGTTCAAGCCAATTTGAGGTAGATGTGCTGTTTCTTGCAAACCAAAGCTCCTGATACTTGGTGGGACACCCTCCCCTGCTGGCTGACTTCTTCTCCTCCCAGGCAGGCAGTTGCTTTCCCTTAGAGCATGGGTGGAGATGAGGCGCAGCTATGACTAATCAAACAGATAAAAACTCAAGAGTGTTGGTGAGGATGTGGAGAAACTGGAACCTTCATGCACTGCTGGCGGGAATGTAAAATGGTGCAGCCACTTTGGAAAACAGTCTAGCAGTTCCTCAAAAAACTAACCATAGAGTGACAATTTGGCCAAGCAATGCCACTCTGTGGTATATACCTAGGAAATATGGGACGTACTGGGGACAGCTGTGTGCAGAACCAGAGTCTCCCCAGCTTCTGAGAGAGGACACGGCCCCAAGCTCTTGCCCAAATTTTCTGGGACTTGCTGTGGGTGGGGGCTGCTGCCTCTCTGGCCCTAAAGGAGCGGGAATGACAGAGGGATCACATCAGAGCAGTTCAGGAACCACCATCCCCCCTCCATGGGTCATTGGGCAGCCGGGAGCCAGGCTGCCTGGGTCAGGTGACCATGTGGTAAAATCAGTGGCCTCCACTGGGCCAGAACAGCTGAGGCTGCTTCCACGAGCAGCAGGACATGGGAAGTGACTGGAGCCGTGACCCCATACAGTCACCTCAGTCTCTCCACAGCAGTGTCCTGAAGAGAGCCAATTACACCATTTAAAATTAAAGACATGATGAGAACTGTGTGTTGAGATGTTTCTTCGGCCTTGGGGCAATTGGTAACTCCAGCTTTGGAAATATCCAGCCTAAATCCCCACCACTCACGTCCCGTGGTGGCCAGCTTTCAGATCCCCTCATCCACAGTGGGGAGCACACAATCCAGGTGCACGTGGCCCCTTCGGCAGACATTGCAGGCAGCCGGTGTCCAGGGCGAGATGTTGTTACGTGTTCAGGTGAGAATCAGGCTGAGGCTGAGACTCCCTGGCCTTCTTTCAAGTTTGTCAGCTCTCCCATCACACCATTTCTTCTCTCAAGTGGGCAGATTGGTATCTTAGTTTATTTTCTGTTGCCTATAACAGAATATCTGAAACTAGGTAACTTATAAAGAAAAGAAATATATTTCCTACAGTTATGGAGGCTGGAAACTCCAAGGCCAAGGGAGCACATGGTGAGAGCATTCTTGCTGGTGGGGACTCAACAACGTTCTGAAGCAATGCAGGGCATCGCACGGTGAGAGAACCGAGGTGCTAACTCAGGCCTCCCTTCCTCTTGTTGTAAAGCCACCAGTCCCACTCTCATGGTAACTATTAATCCATTAACCCATTAATCCATTAATGCACGAATGGGTTAATCCATTCATGAGGGCAGAACCCTCCTGACCCAATCACCTCTTAAAGACTCCACCTTTCAATATTGCCACAGTGGGGATCAAAGTTTCAACATGAGTTTTTTGTTGTTGTTGTTTGTTTGTTTGTTTGCCACCCAGGTTGGAGTACAGTGGCACGATCTCAGTTCACTGTAGATTCCACCTCCTAGGTTAAAGTTATTCTCCTGCTTCAGCCTGCCAAGTAGCTGGGATTACAGGCACCTGCCATCATGCCCGGCTAATTTTTCTATTTTTGCAGAGATGGGGTTTCACCATGTTGGCCAGGCTGGTCTCAAACTCCTGGCTTCAAGTGATCTGCCTGCCTCAGCCTCCCAAAGTGCTGGGATTATAGGCATGGGCCACCACACCCAGCCTCAACATGAGTTTTAGAGGGGACAAACACTCAAACAGTAGCAACTGGCTTTGAGTCAGCCGAGCTGAGGAACAGGACGTCAGGCTATCACCAGAGAACGTTACCTCAAACTCTCTGTTCTCCAGTTTTAATTAAAGCAATATTTTTCATGGAGAATTACCCAGGAAACACACATTCCATGGACTCCTGAAGGTCATGCCCTCTAGAGCACCACAGGTCAACTGCATGGTTTGGCCTTGATAAAACGGCACCCACTGAACTCACACCAGGATGCTCTGCTGAGCCCACTCTGAGGGCTGTTAAGACAGACTCATGGGACTGTGGTGTTTGGTGTTATGCTGTTGGGTTGTGTGGTTTTGTAAAAGTATAAATTTTTTTATAATCATTTTAAAATGATTATAAAAAATCATTTTAAAGGTATAAATTTACACAAAAAGACACAAAACAAAAATGTGCAGACCATGTAGTAAACAGCCATGTAACCACCAGCTAGGTAAAAAATACGACATGAAGTCTTATTTGGTGAGGTGGGAGGCTAACTCCCTGGGGCCCCTCCACCTCACCAAAAGGAACTTCATTTAAATAGAATTATATAACATGGACCCTTCTGTGTCCACCTCACCAAAAATAACTTCATTTAAATAGAATTATATAATATGGACTCTGCTTTCACTAGAATTATGCTTCTGAGACCTATTCCTGGTATTGTGTATAGTCATAATTCATTAATTTTCATAGCTTACAGTATTCCATTGTAAGAATGAACTGTGAATGAAATTTTGGTCCTTTTTTTGCTTGGGGCTATTATAAATAATGCTGTTAGCAATGTTCTATATATGTATCCTGATATGCACATTTACACATACACCTTTCCATTGGGTATATTCCCATAAGTGTGATTGCCAGGTCATCAGGGATGGGTCATCAGAAATGCATACCTTCAATTATTTAGAAAGTAATAGAAATAATACCAAATTGTTTCCCAAAATGGTTGTTCCAATTTACATTTCCAGCAGCAGACTGTAAGAGTTCCAGTAGCTCCACATTCTCATCAACACTTGTTACTATCAGTCTTCTTAATATTAGCCATTCTGGTGGGTAAAGGTAGTGTGTTAGTTATCTAGTGTTGCATAACAAATTATGCTCAAAGTATAGTAGCCTAAAACAATATACACTTATTATTTCAAGGTTTGTGTAGGTCAGAAAGCCAGGAGTGGCTTGTCTGGGTGGTTCTGGTCTCTCACAAGGTTTCAGTCAAGATGTTAGCCAGGGCTGCTGTCATCTGAAGGCTCAACTGGGGCTATAGGATTCACTTCTAAGATGGCTCACTCACAGGACGTGATGGGAAGACACCTCAGTTCCTTGTTGTATGCACCTCTTAGCAGGTCTGCTCGACTGTCCTCTTGACAGTCATGCCTCATGGCATCAGCAAGTGCTCTGAGAGAGAGGGGTGTGGGGAAAAGAGAGAAAGAGAAAGAGAAGCCACATTGTCTCATGACCTAGTGTTGCAAGTGATACACCATTACTTTTGCCATATCCTATTTATTAAGGTGAATCACTCAAGTCCAGTCACACTCAAGGAGAGGGGAATTAGTTTCCACCTCTTGAAACGAAGAGTACTAAAGAATTTGTGGACATATTTTAACACTACCACAGGAATCTCACTATGGTTTTAATTTGTATTTCTCTGACTAAATGAGGTTGAATACATTTTCGTGTGTTTACTGGCCATTAACTTTTTCACACAGTACCTATTCAAGTGTCTTCCACAATTTTCTGTTTTGTTTTATTTTATTTTTTCATTTTTCTCATTGATTTGTAAGAGTTCTTTCTATATTCTAGATATGAGTCTCTTGTCAGTTATATGTGCTGCAAATACATTCTCCCACACCTAGATTGCTTTTGTACCTTCTTAATGGTCTCTTTGATAAACAAACTTTCTTAATTTTAGTGTAGCCTAAATTATTAGTCTTTTTCTTTATGGACTGTGCTTTTTATATCTTGCTTAAGAAGCAAAGTCCTAAAGCTATTTTCTTATTTGGGTGGCTTTCTGATGTGTGACCTTGCCTAGCCTGAACTATATTTCTCTGGAATGCCCTTTCTAGGGTGCTTTCAGTTAGGCTAGGATGGGCAATAAGGGGTATTCTCTCCTGAGAGCAGGAGTACACAGGGAAACAGTGGCCTTTCAAGCATGCACATGCTTTCTCCACTTACTCACTCAAGCCCTGGCCTTCATGCTGCTGCAAAGAGATTTTGCAATGTGATTAAAGTCCCAAGTCAGTTGACATTAAGATAATCAAAAGGGAGATTATTGCTCAGTCAGTTACAGATCGAACTCCTTTTTCCACTCATCCTCCACTTCTCACTACTGCACTTGATTAATCTAAAAATAAGTGGGTAGAGATTATCCTGGATGGGCCTGACTCAGTTAATTGAAAGGCCTTGTTAAAAGGGTTTAGGCATTCCCTGAGCCACACTCCAAACAGCCCCTGACAGCCTGCCCATCAGACTTCAGATGTCCTTAGCCTGCCCCCACAATTGTATGAGCCAATTCCATGAAAACACACACACAGACGATCACTGTCGGCCCTGCTTCTCTGGTTGAGCCCTTACTAATACTCCTACATTATCTTCTAAAGCTACATTGTTTTGCCTTTCTCATTTAAATCCAAATCCACTTGGAGTTGATTTTTTTGTGGATGGTGTGAGGTAGGGGTCAAGGATTTTGTTTTGTTTTCTTCCATTTAGATGCTCAATAATCCCAGCACCATTTATTAAAAAGCCTTTCCTTTCCTACTGCTTGGCCAGTTTTGTCATAAATCAAGAGTGAGGGTATTCACAGGTCTGAGTGTTTGGAGCTGATCTGCTTTGGCCACCAAGAAATTAGTTTTCAAATTTGCTTCCCACTTTCACCAATTGTGTTGGAATTTATGACATGATTTCTGAACACCAGTTTACCACTGGCCTTGCCCAACGGCCCAGCCCATGTTCTCCCTCCACTATGGCACACAGAGTGGCTGTTCATGAAATATTGGTGTCCTCCCTTTCCTCTGCTTTGGAAAACAGAGAAAGCCCTAGAATTGAGCTACAGGAGGGCTGCTGGGGAAGATAGGAGGTAGTGAAGTGGTCCCCAGAAGCCCTGGTGACTTTGGTTTCATTTTGTTTTGTTTTTGTTTTTGTTTTTGAGATGGAGTTTTGTTCTTATTGCTTAGGCTGGAGTGCAACAGTGCTATCTTGGCTCACTGCAACCTCCACCTCCCAGGTTCAAGTGATTCTCCTGCCTCAGCCATCCGAGTAGCTGGGATTACAGGTGCCCACCACCAAACTCGGCTAATTTTTGTATTTTAATTAGAGACGGGGTTGCATCATGTTGACCAGGCAGGTCTTGAACTCCTGACCTCAGGTGATCCACCCACTTTGGCCTCCCAAAGTGCTGGGAATACAGGTGTGAGCCACCGTGCCCAGCCCGTGGCGACTTCGCTGGAGAGGGATGGGTAGAGGGATTGATCATCAGAACATGGTGGGTTGGGAAGCCTATCACTATCTGGACTGCGCAGGCCACCTGATGTTCACCTGAACTCCGCATACTACATAGACACCGGCATGGAGGAAGAGAGCAGAGACAGTCCCAATCCCATAGGGGCAGAGGGGTCAAGAGGGAGAGCTTTACGCAGCAACATGAATGGAACTGGAGGTTGTCATGTTAAGTGAAATAAGCCAGGCACAGAAGGACAAACTTCACATGTTCTCACTCATCTGTGGGAGCTAAAAATTAAAACAATGAACTCATGGAGCTAGAGAGTAGAAGAATGGTTACCAGATGCTGGGGAGGGTCACGGAGGCGGAGCGAGAATGGTTAAAGGGTATAAAAATATGGTTAGAAAGAGTGAATAATATCGAGTATTTGATGTCACAATAGAGTGACTACAGTCAACAATAATTTATTGTACATTTCAAAATAACTAAAAGAGTATAATTGGATTGTTTGCAACACACAAAAAAATAAATACTTGAGGTGATGGATATCCCATTTACCCGATATAATTATTATGCATTGCACGCCTGTATCAAAATATCTCATGTAACCCATAAATACTTACTCTGTACCCGCAAAAACTTTAAAAATAAAAGGGAAACAATGTAATGTGTTAAAACTATAAACATCCTATAATAACTCTCCCTCAGCGTAACTGCAACAGTCACTCCTACAAGAGTGGGTAAGAAACGTGCCCCTGATCTAAGCTGCTGTTAGTTACCATTTTGCCTGTGTCCAGCTGGACCTCACCGGCACAAATTTGGGGTCTTTGGCCCAGTGTCATCTGAGCTGCTGCACAGCAGCAAGCCCAGTTCTTTCCATGAAACATTACAACCAACAGCAGCCCCCAAGACCTGGGCACAGAGCTGGGCACGCAGTGGGTGCTGCCCAAAGGAGTTTTAAACAACTGGATGCATTACAGGTTAGATAAATTATGACTCCTCCACACCATGAACTATGCCTCTCAAATTCCTAAGGAACCTCCTTATATCCTGGCCTAGAGTGGATCCCACTGTCACAACATCAAGTGAAAAAAGCAACGTGAAACAAGCATGTGCTATGTGTCATCTTTTCTACAAAATTGGACGGAAAAAGAAATTTATGCACATATTTGCTTGAATGTGCAGGAAATCTCTCTAAAGGACACGCAAAAACTGTGTGATATTGGCTGTAGCAGGGAGGAAGGCCAGGTGGAGGTGCGGGGCAGGAGAAACCCTTCCCTGGGGCCTTCCGGCAGCTTTTAGCTTTGGAGTCATGTGAACATCCTGCCTGTTCACAAAACCAAAACTATTATTTTAAGAAAAAAAGAAAAGAAAGAACAAGATGCAGACGGCCTGAAGGAGCACATCTCCCCAGCTGGGCCAGGATCGGGAGAACCCGGGAGCATGAAGAGGGGGCTGTGCCCATCCTGGGCAGGAGGCCAGCCTGCCTCCCAGTCCCTGCCTTCCTAAGGCTGCCCTGGCAGGAGCCCTCATAGAAGGCCTGCAGGAGCCAGGCCCACTGCACTGTGCAGCTTCCCTGCAATTTCTTCTCCCCCTTGGTGACTGGCAGAGGAGGCTCTTTTTCTTGGCAAGCCACCATCTGTGAAAAACGTGGTGGCCGTGAGGCTGCATCTGCAGACAATGGTTTGGACATGGGTCGAATTGGGAAAAATCTCTTTACCTCCGCACTGCAAATCCTCTCTCCCTGCGGCAGCCAAGCCAGGCAACGAGGAGTGGAGAAAGGAAGACTGCAGAGAAGAGCACGTCCAGCTTCCTGGCAAATACCTGTGGCTGGGGTTGTGGCTGGGAGTGCAGATGTGTGCTCAGAAAACACAGCCCTGTGATGCAGGATCAGATAGACGCAGGGGAACTGTGGATGTGCACCTGAGTGGATGTGTACAGGAGGGTCGGGGTGAGCGGTTGTGTGTGTGCGCATGTGTGTGCGCATTTGGGTACATGTGCATATGTGGAACGGGCCCCCCGGTGCGTGTGGGAGATGCCTGGCTGTGCAGCAGGCCTGCCTCTGGGGCTCTGTGCCTCAAGGGGTGCTGGGAGCAGGCATGTGATTGGTCTGTGGATTCCAACCCCTGCTTGGCCAACCCTGCTTTGTCATTTGTTAGCTGGGTCTCTAGAAAATTCTGTGAGTCCTTTAACTTTAGTCACTTTATGTGTGACACAAGGTTATGGCGAGGAGTCACTGAAAATACCAAGCAGAGAGGCAGCAGCTCCGTGGCAGGGCAATGCCAGGGAGTGCGCCGCACGGGCTGGAGTCTGTGCCTTCTTTTCTGGCTTCGACTCTGGCCTCGCTGATAGTCCTAAAAGTGCACGACTTTCCCCCATGGGCTGACATAGGCAGGGCTTGTGGCCCAGTGCCCCACACAGCGCCTGGCTTGGGGCAGGCGCAGAGACCCAGGGTGAGAGGTGACAGCCCAGCTGAGGCGCCACGGTGGCCGCCTGTGTGTGTCCAGTCCACAGGAGCCTCACCCTCCAGGAGGCCCCACTGAGCCGCAGCAACCACCAGCTCTGCCCTCCTCACCCACCACGTCTGCCCTCACCCACCACGTCTGCCCTCACCCACCAGGCCCACTCCTGCCTGGAGGACGAACCACACGGCTGTCCTCCCCACGCCACCCAGTTTCCAGAGGGGAAAAACAGGAGAGGACAGTACAGGAGTCCTCCCTCTGCTTAGCCCCGCGCTGTGGCTTCCTCTCAGGCTTGGGATAAAGCCAAACCCCTCTCCACCGCCTGGAAGGCCTCTTCCCGGATCCGAGCCCTGGCACCCGCCCCCCGCCCCCCGCTGCTTCCCTCTGCTCAGGGGCTCCACATGGGCAGCCCACATTTATCTGTGCCCCAGGACCTTTGCTCCAGCCGCTCCCTGGCCTGGTGTGGGGCGGGGGCGGGGCGGGGGTCTTCCAAGGCTG